ATAGATAGATAGATAGATAGATAGATAGATAGATAGATAGATAGATAGATAGATAGAGTTAAATACATAAGCTATGTATTTAAATAGCTTTAATTGAATCAAATTTAGTTTCCAGTCTGGTCCTACTCCCTGGGGCTCTTGGCCTGATCATTCATCAAGTGCACTTCTGATCTGACCTCACTCAACACCACCAGTAGGTCAGAGAACAGAATCTGCAGTCATAACTCTTTTTGGCAGCAAGTGCTCTTTCGTGACTCAAAGCGGACTGTGTGGTATCTCCTCTACCCGGTGTTTCTCCTGTCTGGACCCATGTTACACTTGATAGAAACTGCCATGGACATGCAAGGCTCAAACGTGAGAAGAAGGGCAGATCATATCAGTCCAGAAGGAGTTATCTGACATTTTTAAAAGGTCAAAGTGAAAGCAATCACACCCATGAACACGCTGTTGCTGTAGTCTACTGTGATAGCCTGGGACACCATAACAAGCCTGGCAAGTGCCACAGTGTTTAATGGAAATCAACACATGATAATCTCTTTATATACTGAAGCAATGCACTTCAAATGAATTAATACATATTTAAAACATGTCTCCTTGAACAGCTGTTATTTACTTCCAGAGTTTCCCCCTATTAAGGCTCCTTCCTTTGTTCTTCTACAAAGTTATTCATGCTTCTCATGGTACTTTGAAGAACTTGCATTGTGTAGAATGGAGTATTCTTTACTCCCAAGGAGATGAGTCTTTTTTAATAACTTAATATTTCAACATTACCCATTCAAGCAACCTTCCAAACAAAAAGGTCAGATCCTATGTACAGCATCTGCTTGCAACAGGCAAGCAGATGCTTAAAGTTACTGCACAAACTTGCAGCAGTGAGCAGGATAAAAAGAAGGCAATCAATCTTTCCCTCTGGATTTTAAAATCAGATTTACTGTGATGCTAACCCACTAAATCCCAGATACTTTTTGTGTCTCATAATTTATGGCCAAATTATGGGCCTTTCTGAGGAGCCTGGGCCAATAAGTAAAGCTTCTGTAATTGAACAGAGATGTTGCAACGTCTTATGATGCATGCTCTAAACACTGTGTTTCCCAAAGATGGATGTTTTTACAGGTTTGTTGCTTATTTGTCAACTAGTTTTGCTGCAGTATTCAAATGCTTTGAGTATGTCTTTTCCCCTCTAAAAACCATTTTAGGAGGGTGCTTTACAATGGTTTAATAGACACAGGGGGCCAAATGTGTACCCATGGTTTACATATCACAGTGTTTGTGTTGTGGCTTGTTTTGTTTCGGCTTAGTACAATATATGAAGGCAGCCATTGTGTCATAGTACTGTCTTCCAGAGATGGATCACTAACTCCATAATTCCCAGTCAGTTACAGATTAAGAGAAAGTAACCTTGACCATGCTCTGTCAATAGGACATAATGAATACATCCGTATTACTTAATGACCATTCTTCAGAACAGAGGAAAATGTTTAGATGAGTTGATGAGATGGGCAACAGATATTCATCACTTGAACTGAATGTCTAAAACAGTCATCACAGATAAAACCTTGACATTATGAGGGATCTTCATAAGATCCTGAAGGTGGTTCATCTGTTCAGCTAAAAGCCACCACCACTGAGATAATCAGTATAGACTGGAATAAATCTCAGGAGACGTACTCCAGATCAGGGCTTCCGGTGCTTTAATTAGGAGAGAAAATAGATTAATTGAAGCCTTTTTGTTGATGATGTTGTTGAAGGCTGCAAGTCAGGAGTTAGTTAGAAGTCACCGATTCAGGTTCAACTCCTGGTGACTGCATGGACAAATGCTCCCTCCTTGACTTGTCTCTAGTAATAACTATAACTCTGCCAAGGACATTCCAGTAATCTGTCTGATCATGAATCATTTGGCAGTTTACCAGCAGATTCCCAACTTATTTTAAAATACAGTAAAACTTTGATTTTACAGACCCCTATTCAGCAAACTTCAGATGTAACAGACAAAATCTGAATTCAGTCTGCTTCACCAAACCCTGTTTTGTGTTTTTTGTCTTTTTTTTTGGCAAATCAGTCTGAACAATATTTGTACATTTTATGTACATCATGTAAATCTTTCATGAATTATTTAAAATTTACATACATAATTTTATATAAAAATTATCTAAACATCTTTTCCCTCAAACTGGTCTGTAAGTCTGAGGATTTACTGTAACATGAACACTGCCATTTTATTAGCTTTCTATGTGATGTACTTTTATAATATTTTAAAGACCATTCTCCCTGTATATTCTTCCTGTACATTCTTCCTCTAGTGTTTCATCCAGTATAGGGAGAATAAGAAAAGATGTATTTGAGTGTAGAGTGTGCCTTTAATTTTGAATTCAGAAAAAAAAACCCTCTTGTCTTAAGTATGAAACACTTGGAAAACAGCTAGATAAGACATGTATGAGACATCTGAATGTAATGAGTTTATATTCAAATGTCTCATACATTTGAGACATAAGACATGTCTCAAATGTATGAGACATTTGAATGTAAACTCATAGTAAAAGTGAATAAATTTAGACTCTTACTTTGCTGATATAATCCATAAACCTCTTCACACGATCAAGATCAATGCTATTTGCCCAATAGCCTTCTTTCTTGAAATATGAACCAATGATCAAGGCATTTGCACCTAAGTAGTCCTTCACATTATCCAGAGTGACACCAGACCCAACCAGCACTGGAATCTTCACAGCAGATCTGACTTCTAGAGAAAGCAAATAAGGAAACTCATAATAAAACTTGTAAGGAAGACAAGCTGAGGTCACAATGGCTCTACATGTTGCACCAGCTCCCTTTTCCACCATCCTCTCCCCACTCCAAGGAATGGCTCTAGTATTTCCCTGATCTCAAGCTGATCCTGTTCTATGTCCTTTGCATTCTTCTTGCTGATGACAAATATTCAGTAGCAGCAAACCATAGCCAAGGCTGCCTTTAAACTGCAATGGAAAAGACTGTACTCTTTAAATTATTGCATTAACGTTTTACTCATTCCAGCCAAACCACCAAGAAGAGCATGGGCTCTTTGACTCCCATGCCCTATGACTAGTGCCAAAAAAGCATTAACCATGCTGGAAATGAGATAATATAATCTCACCCTCCTCCCTTTTTCAGCACAGCTCTCAAAGAGACAAGCACTAAGATCAAAACACCAATTGGTGTAAGCTGCTCGATGCATTTTGTAATAGGATGAAAGGATTCAAATGGGTCTACACTTAAGCAGCAGCAGGAATTCCAAAGGCAGAGACAGGATCAATTTGCTCTCATAGAACTATTACAGGAACATTTAAAAAAACAAACAAACGCAACACACTAAGCCTTCTCTGATCTATTTTCATCATGCAGAATTGCAGTGTTTAGGGTTTCTTTTATTATGGTTACTTGTGGAACCATTCTTGTCACTGAAGAAACACTGAATGTCCTCAGGCACATTTACTCTCTGTGTGTGTGTGCACGCGTGTATATCTCCCCAAACAGGCATTTTCCTTATATTTCTGTTATCCCATTTTTTAGTGCTTCAAAAGAAAAATAAAACAAACACAATGAACAGGGAATTGGACTTGATGGTCTAAATCAGAAGTTGGAAACCTGTGACCCACAGGTTGTCATTGGATCCAGAACCCCATTGTCTTGAGCCAAAACTGGCATAGATGAGCCAAATTTGGATTTTTTCCCCCGAGGTTGGAGGGGTTTAAAGATAAGAATGTTAGAAGGTTGTTACCTGGAGTCTATACCTCCTGCTCCCATTACACCACCCTCTTAAACTGAGCTAACAGTGTTCATCTCAGCTCATTTTAGAGGTATCACATCAATGGAGAACCTCTTGTAGACCTCCAAAAGTTTGAAAAGCTGAGAGGTGGACTCTCACCCCTCAACAAATAAGAAATTAAGGATAAATCAGGCAATTCCACCCTAATGGCAGAAAGTGAAGAAGAACTAAAGAGCTTCTTGATGAGTGTGAAAGAGGAGAGTGCAAAAGCTGGCCTGAAACTCAACATTAAAAAAACGAAGATCATC